GGTTGGTATTGGCAGTATTCAAGCCATTCGTCATGCCCCCCGTGGGTCCAGCCCCGCCAAGACCCCCTATGTTGTTGCCAAGTTGGTTAAGTTGTCCCACGTTGCCACCAAATTGACCACCAAACTGGTTGGACTGGTCCATACCCATGGGCCCTTGCATCTGATCACCGCCGAGACCACCTTGCATTCCGTTGAGACCACCACCGTTAAGACCCTGCATTTGAGCTGTGGTGATGGATGCCGCCATTGAAACGACGATGCAAGTGGCAAATTTGAACATGCTTGGCGAATGCAAATCGAATAATAAGTCACCCGACCAAGACTGCAAGTAGCGGTGGTGACACTGACTAGCATCGCCAAAAACTGTCCATCGCCGAAAACGGGTCAGATATTCTTTGGTGGGCTGTCGGATTTGGGGTTAAGGCTGGCTCTTATGCCTTCACGCTTGCTATGAATGGAGTATTGTGGCCTCTGTGGTATTATCACAGCAACTACCATCTAGTCCAGGTGGTCGACCTGATCAAGACTATCTCACCAATAATGTGCTCCAATGAGTTTTACCCGGAACTGGGTCACATGTAGTCGCAGTCGATGCACACCCTGGGGGTGGGTTAGCAGCCAGCCCTTGACCTAGGGTGACACTGGAAATGCGGATGGCTGTGAAAATTGACGTCCTTTTTTCAAAGCTAGGGCTTAACTTACGTGTTGCCAGAACAACAATAGGTCAGCCTCTCATCATGGCCAAGGTATGGCAATACCGAAGCTCCCTTGAGGTCCTTTTGTTCGCAGTTACAAAGCAACGAATAATAAGCCGTCAACATTTTCCTCTACAATCCATACTGTTTTCACAGTAAGGAGGGAAGTTTGAGCGATACAGTCCACAAATTTACCCTCATGCGGCACTAGAAACTGTGCTTAATGTCTTAGAGTGTCTAGGGGCTTGAACTACTCGTCACCAGTCCACATGCCGCTACAATCATAAGCACTACTGTTGCCGCACCAGTTACCGTCGACGCACCACTGCGCACGGTCGTCGTTGCCGGTGTCGCCGTCGTAGCAGCTAGAGTCGTTGTGGCTGGGGCCGTCGCTGTGCCGTTCGTGGCATTGGTTTTGGGGGGAACAGTCGAGACTGTGACGTTGATGTCGAGTTCTTGGTTCCCACCATTGCCCATTCCGTTGGCCATTCCGTTACCCATTCCATTGCCCATTCCGTTGCCGGCGGACATTGCACCTAAGGAAGGACCTCCCCCCATTGCACCGGAGATGTCACTGCCTTGGCCGTTGTTGCCCATCATCATGTTGCCCATGCTGCCGGGTTGGCCCCCCGTCATCATGTTGCCCGGCTGACCTCCCATGGGTGGCGCGGCGGCATTGTTGGCATGTCCAAGGCATGTCGATGCTGATCACTGTAAAACAAGTTGAATAAGATAAAACCGTGCACCTCCACCATTTTATTAAAGCATGGTTTTAGATCTGGATTAGCCAGTACTTCACACAGGACAAAGAATCGATCGACAGATTTGGCGAATCCCAAATTTTGGGTAACTACAGTACTGTAACGTTATGTACTTTGTACAGCCGCATTGTGACGGATTGTCCAATAACTCGACAGTGACTTTGCCTTTGTTCAGACTGAGAGTGGTAAAAAGTAGTGTTTCTGTGTGATCACGTTTCTGTCTGAAAAAAGCAAATAGTGTCCGATCCTATCGCCATATCCTTCAATTGGTCTCAAACACGGCTCAGTAGTAAAAATATCCTAGTCGTGTCGATTTTTGAAATCGACGCCCAGTGCCATCAACTCGTCGTGGCGTGGATCGAGTGCCGCCATCCGCGATCGCGAGTTGTGCACAAATGCACCTAGGTGCAGCCCGCGGAGCATTTGAGGCCATTCGTCCGTCGTGACGAACCGCTTGGGCACGTTCACGTGTCCATGTAACATTTTGTACGTGCGCAAGGCGTGGATGTTCACTTGCCAGTTTTCGTCGTGCACCCCCCACACAAACCCAAGCTCATTCAGCGCGGCCACTCGAGCCTTGGAGTAGGACGCCGCCCGATTCCGAATGTTCTGCACCCACACCCCGAGGCGCATACCATGGCCAGATGCTGGCCACTCGTCCGTGCATGGAACCACGTACGAGTACGGGACATTGGCGTGGCCGTAAATAGCTGTGTACGTCGCCAGCAGGTCGATGCTGTGCTGCCACTCTTGCGCGTGAACACTCCACACAAACCCGAGGCTGTCGAGCGTGGCAATGCGATCCTGGGCCAACTTGTCCTTGTCCTGCCGCAGATTGTCCACCACACGGCCGAGTTTCCAGTTCCAGCTCTCTTTGGGCCAGCGTTCGTCGCCGTGTGGTACCACGAACGTCCGTGGGATGATCACGTGGTTGTGCAGATTCGAGTACGTTCGCAACCCTTGCACTGTCATCTCCCACTTGTGCTGCCGCACGTCCCAAATGAACCCGACTTTGTTCAGCGCTTCCACGACTTCTGGCGCCAGCTTTTGTTTGCGATACGCTTCCCGGAACGTAGAAATGTTGACCCATGACCCGTGCATCGACAGCGGCAAGTCGGGCGACGGAGGGACTTTGAACTGCGCGGGCAAGGTCGTGTACTTGGAGACCTTGTCGTCGAAGGCATCCACGGCCATCTTGACCACCACCTGCTGTAGATGCAGAGGAATCGCCGACGAAGCGAAGCCTCGCCCGAAGCTGCACCGACGGAAGGCGGCTAACATGCTTATGTTCCACTCCACTTTGGGAACTTCTGATTGGATGGATTTTGGGAAAGCCTACGTATTACATACTAGTAGTTTAATACTACTATTATATGACTAGTAACTGTTAATACTGATACTATTAATATTAAAGCTACCCTTAGTTTTTTTATTCGAGGGACATTTTTTGGTGGAGTGCTTCAAACATTTGACATTTTAGTGCACAAAAAGAATTCGTAAGGTGGCTCACCTTGCCAAAAACCTACGAATTCTGTATTATGTAGTACTTGTAGTACTAGTATGGATAACTTGTCGAATATGACAATTTTATCGGACATTAGTCTTATTGGTTAAAAGTTCAATACTTCGTAGGCTTTCATTGGTAGATGACTCTTCATTTTCAATACAAAGACCAAATGTCGTATGTTGGTTTTTATAGAAGCCTTTGATAAAGTCAGGACATGAACCCTGAGGACACGGCGTGGCTCCGGGTGCCACATGTATTGTGCAGAGGCTGCAACATGGATACGCACCCTTCCTCACGGTTCATGTCCTGACAAGGTGAGGAAATGAACCGTGAGGACACGGCGCAGCTCCTGGTGCCACGTGTGTTGCGTGCAGAGGCTGCAAGTGGCCTGGCCACAGTTCTTGCTGTGTACCATGGAGTCGTGGGTACAGAAGTTCTGTCACTCCAGGGACGTTGCAATGGCTTGAATTTCCAACGAGGAATCTAGAAATGGTACAGTTAAAGACGCCATGACGAAGCTACGTGAGTGTCAGTACAGTACAATGGCGTGGTTGACCCCTCGCTTTATTGGGCACACCAACGTCGGCGTGCTGCAGTCTACTGCATTATTCGTGAGTTTACCATCGGCAACACGTCCCAACTGTGGCAATGCTAGCTCGCAAGGTGACTGTACAGTACATCAACGTGATCGCGGTGTCGGGGACGACAGGCTGGCGAGATTCAGTGGTGTCGGCTATGCGACGCATAGCCCCTAGTAGATGTGTTAGATGTGTATAGTTTCATTGATAAGGTCGATAAGTACTTCGTATATGTACTATCCATCATAACTCCTTGTGCGAATTAGTGTGTCATTGAAGTTGTTGCTAATGCAGTTGTTCACAAACTCCTTCGAGCCCCAGTCGAGTGGCCCTACTATCAAAATAACCGCAAGATTCAGCTCATGAATTGAGGTTCAAAGGATATCAATTTAAATAGTAAACACGTGCAGTAAGGATTTTCAAAAGTAGCGTTTTTCGTAGGGCACCAGTCATCGGCACACGTTTTAGACTTGTGTAATGCATTGAATCCTCCACACTCTAGTTCGCGGATGCTGAATTGACTGTTCCAACCTCTAATTTATAAGGGACACTAGTTCTTGAAGAACTACATTTTGACCAATAAAAGGTATTCAGGCATTTTTATTGGCTTACAACAGTGCCGATGACTGGTGTCTTTGCCGATGACTGGTCTCTTTGCCGATGATTGGTGCCCTACGTTATGTCGTAAATTGGCAATTTACGTTATGTTGCTAGTATTAATATATACTACTCCGTCCCAAATTACTCCCACTTTTCAACTTCGACTCATCTCAAAATTTGACTCATTTATCCAATTTCTACGAAATTTGTACCAATGAGAAGCTGGGAATTCGGTGTTTTGCTTACTCATATATTACAGGTTTGTTGGATAGTACCGTACTGGAGTTAGATACTTCACCTTTTTTCGGTTAATTTCAGGACCTCACCATACTTTTTCGCCAAATGAACAAGCAATTCGCGGCGGTTCCACTTCGTTCATTGTACATATATTCGTTATATTTCGCCTACAACCAAGTAGGTTGCAGTATATTTCAAGCGATGTTCCTTATATTTCACTGTGTATGCGCTCAATTCAGCGAGTGGCTCAATATATTTCAAGGTGCAAGCGATATATCAATCTGACTTTCGACGTCTTGCTGTGGCTCTTCATTGTGGACCAAAGATCACAATATGAAGAGCCACATCAAGACGTTGCTGCGCGAGTGCCCTGCTGCGTTTATGGGACCTCGCTCGTCCTGACGGATAAACTCGAAACGAGTTTCGTATGGCTTACCTTGAGCACATCGCCGACGAAGTCATTGCAGGTATGGATCGTCGATGAAAATTTAACTTATACATTTACAGATGTAGACGTGAATCGCATGCACCATTGCTTTTTGCGGCTCGAATACTTCCAAGGCCGCGGAGAACATGGAAGTTGGAGCCTGATCGACCAACAATTGCATTTTACGTCGAAAGTCAGATTGATTTACATTTTTTATTGAAATATATCGATTGCACCTTGAAATATATTGAGCCACTCGCTGAATTGAGCGCATACACAGTGAAATATAAGGAACATCGCTGAAATATACTACAACCTACAGTACTTGGTTGCAGGCGAAATATAACGAATATACAACGAACGAAGTGGAACCGCCGCGATGAACAAGCATCGCGGCGGTTCCACTTCGTTCGTTCATTTCGCGAAAAAGTATGGTGAGGTCCTGAAATTAACCGAAATTAACCGAAAAAAGGTGTTGTTTTATCCGTATATTTTTATGGACATATCAGACACGACACAAAACCGACAAAATTCGGCCCCGTGATTGGATGACCGACAAATGATTGAATTCACAGATTGGTCAGTATTTTTTGCGACAATCCGATTGGACGAGGCGGTTGTCGCAGCAGCAACATATCACTAACATTTAACATGTACGGCTTTTTATTTATTGAAATACTGCCGAGCCGACATTGCACACGAAACGGTGTCGATCAGCATAAGTAAAACGGCACGAACCAGCAGGAGTACTGTACTGTTGTGGTCGGTGGCAGTCAGCTGGCGCCCCACCATGATGCATGGGGACCAATGGTGGGATCCCTTTTGTAGCCCATTCCACACAATAACGTTTGCGACTTTTAAAACGTACGAATGAGGCTAAGAGTAATGGTTGCGCTTAGGTAGGTCCTGATTGAACATTACTGTAGCTACGCCAACACCACCTTACCTCCAGTAGTGATTCCAATTGCCCCTCATTCTACAAACGACACTAACCACGTTCTCCAGCACTGCATATCCACGTACTTTCGCAACGTGAACCACCGTACTTGTTAGCACACAGTGTTTATAAGCATCCCCACTGCTAGCATCTGCACAGTGGGGATGCTTATAACACTAACTGCGACCTCCCTTCAATGTGTGCCCCCTTCCACCACAACACTAAATAATCATGTTTTCAATACTACAACTACTAAGATCACTTATATTGTTGCGAGCGACCTCACAGGTATCACAAAACACGCATCACAGAGTCGATTGAGACGATGAGAAGTAATTACGAGCTCACAAACTTATTCTATGGTGGCAAAGTCGTGCACCATTGAGCTATCAATGTAAATCTAGAAGTGCACATGTACTCCAGCGGTAAGGTTCTTTACAGTGAATGGTCACTCTCGCTACGATGTCCACGGAGTGTTTACTGTACTTCGGTGTCGTTGGTGAGCAAGGAACGAGGTAAGCATGCCTGATGAGTGGGTTGTGTTGCGCAAAGTAACCAAGTAATCCCTCCACGTAATATTGAACGTACTATAATAGTACGTGTACAGTGTACTGTACCTTTAGCCCCCGCCAGCAAACAGAACTCTCTCTGTATGTCGATAGATTCGAAAAAACCAAGATACTTTACTTGATCGTTGTATTGACATGGAAGAGACATCCGCCAATGAAAGGCAATAGGCTTCAGAAAGTTGTCGGATATATTTGTCGCAGAGGCCATTTTATCTATACTACGTGTCAATTTACTGTTACCAAACTGAACTTCCAAATCCATTCAATAGGGGCTGGTCGCGGAATATTAGGGGCTGGTCGCCACGATGGAGGCTAAGATGGCGTTCGGGTTGTGTGTGGTGGATGTTCTGCCGCTCTTGAGCTAACGTTAGCACGGCGTAGGCCTACGTGAACGCTTTGCAGCCAGCCACAGGAGTGCCGACACAGCGCACAGTTGCTTACGGCCGGGGGCCGCCACCACCACCAGGTCATTCGCAAAGTACTAGTAATCAACTCCATTTTCCAACGCCGAGCACTTGTGGACTCGCGCCGGCGTGACCCTCGCGCTGCTCTTCGTCGATCCGCACTCACCCTTCAAGTAGCACGTACTGTCTTGGGTACGTGGTGGTTAGCCTAGACTGACGAATAAATGGATTCTGTAGTGTCGGACGTCGTGGTCTAGATGGTTGGCAAGGTCGAATAATATTATTTCTAATGGGACCAGCATTTCCTCAATTACGCAGCGTTCGAGTCAACAAAGCCAGCTCGAGCCCCCGGGGCTGCCACCGCCGCGCCCTTGACGTTCTTGAGCCAGCAAGTCCCCCACGCAAACGTAAACAACTTGCAGCCGGGAAAGTTCTTGCAGTCGTCGCAGCAGCTTTCGGCGGTCGAGCGTTGGGTGCGCCCAATGTCGTTGCCATAGTAGTCCACATCGTTTTCAATCGACGAGCAGGTCGTGGGGGGTTTGGTCGTGACGATGAGCCCCGCACGACGACCAGTAGCATTGGGTACTTTGGTTCCCGTAGTCGCCTTTAAGTAGCACCAGCCCTGGTACCATACAAACACGGTGCACCCAGCTTTGGCTAGGCAGTCGGCGCAGCAGAGGTCTGCCGAATTGCGTGGCACGGCACCAATGTCTGTGCCGGTGTAGTCGGTGCTGTCTTCGATAGCCGAGCAAGTAGGAGGAGGAGGAGTGGAGGTTGTCTGCAGGACAGCAGCCCGGCGACCGGGCTGGGAGGACTTGGGCCCAGCTACACTCTTGAGCCAACACGTACCTTCAAACCACACGTACAGCTTGCAACTTGGATGGGCTGCGCAGTCGCGGCAGCATTCCGCCGCGGTGGACCGCTTCGAGGACCCAACGTTGTTGCCAAAGTAGTCTGTGTTTTCTTCAATAGCCGAGCAAGTTGGTGGCGGGACAGATGACGAGAGAAACTTGTGGACGTTGAGCCCGGCTTGCCGCCCGATTTGCATTGTAAACCCATATGGGTTGACAGTTCCTTCCCGCATTAAACTGGCATCCCCGACAAAGATGTTGGACGTGCCCAGCACTTTGAACGTTCCGTCAGCGCAGCGCGTGGCGTCGGAGACGTCGTTGGACGGAATGCAGGTCCCGCCGTAGTGATTCGCCCCATCTTTGCCCCTGCGTTGGACAAACGTCGACCCCGCCTGCTCCATGTACATTTGCAGTTTGGACGAGAATTGATCCATGGCTGCGACGTCGTCGGCGTTCGTGTACAAGTTGCTGTCGAGGTTGAAGTGGTACGTGCCATCCTCCTTGAACTCGCACTTGGTGCGGGACCGCGGGTTGTTCAAGTACACTGCCACGCCGAATTCAGTCAAGTCGTTGCTGCCAAAGTTAAAGCCGTGGCAGAATCCCGTGATTTGAAACTGGTTGCCACCCGAGGAGTATTCGTACCCGACGAGCACTGGGTCCGGGCTAGCCCACGGCCCCGTGTGGTTCTGGGTGACATACTGGTCGATCGCGGCCTGGGGGCGGCTCCCGTGGTTGAACACTTTCATGGTGGGATGCTTGAATGTGGTTAGCACTTGGATCGTGTCAAAGAGATGGTTGCCAACGTTGTTGTTGACTACCCAGTTGGTCGAGTTGGTTGTGATCCCTGGAAAGTTGGCGTTCGACGCGAGCAAGTTGAGCTGGGACTGTGGCCCAATTCCGCTTTGAATGAGGACCTTGGGGGTGCTCACGGCGCCGGCAGCAACGATGACACTGCCACGACCGCTCAATGTAGCTGTGACCAACTGGCCGTTGAACGAGTACACGACCCCCGTCGCCTTGCCCTGTGACTGGGCAATGCGCAATGCCAACGCTGAGCTCACAAGCTTAAAGTTGGCGCGGGTGGACGCTGCCCCGTAGAACGTCTTGGCAGGGGAGTCCCGCAGACCGTTTTTGATCGTAAACGGAGGGTGGCCAAACGATTTCGACTTGGCGTTGCGCTGCGCGTTGATGTCCACTTCGCGGTACCCGCCTTGGGACCGTAGCCCGTCGCGAAGGAGGTTGTATGCTTCTTGGAGGTACCACTTGCCGTCGGTGGACGGCAGGTTAGTCGAGCTAAAGCTCGTTTCGATCGCGTCGTAGTTGGCATTGACGGTCGCGGCGTCGTACGGCCATTTCGATTCGTCCACATACGAGTCGGCCGTGTGAAAGTACAACATGCCATTCATGGATGACGAACCCCCCACGACTTTACCAAGGTACAGCGGGCCTGGAGACGTGACCCAGTCGATGCGGTAGCGGCCGTTGTTGTCGCTCGGGAAGGCCACGCTCGAGTACTCGCCAGGAATGTCAAACACTGTCCACCCTTCTGATCGAATGTAGTCGGGGATGTTGTCGCCTCCGGTGGCTTTGAGTGAGCTCACGCCGGCTTCCAGCACCAGCACCGACACAGATGGGTCTCGCGTCAAGTATTCGGCAGCCACGAGACCGCCAGGGCCGCTGCCAATGATGACCACGTCATACACTTCGTTGGCATGTGCCGTGGCGGCCAGTACGGCAGCCACAAGGATACCACCAGCAACATGGCGGTGGAGACATGTCATCATCATGGATGATCAAATAATGAATCACTACCTGAGTTGGGTAGTTTTTTGGTGGATGAGAGTACTGTAATGAATGAATCATTAGAAGCTTGAAAACTCGTTCCAAATTTTAGAGGATGACCTTGTACGCTTTCTAGCTTCAAGTGTCTGAAACAAGGTAATTTGGAATTTCTTGGTTAGGGTGACTACCGGTAGTCAAATGACATACTGGCAGTATACGTTCAGTTTCGTCAAATCTGGGGATGATCGAGTTGAATTCCCCTATTGCGATTGAAGTTCAACAAAAAGGATATCGCAAATTGTAATGTTGGTAAGGCAAGCCCTTACGGGAAAAGTAGACATGAGAAACGGGTTTGCATGCGCGCCTGCGGCATACTACGGTATGTGTCGTTGATCAGCACCACCATGAAATATAAAACGCGAATACAATCATGCAATTCAATCTAATCTCTAATCAATTCAACAACTGGAATATTTTATTAAATTACTCAAATTTAATTACATGATGCAAAGGTAGACGACGAATGCGGAGTACTAACGTCGGAGGGTCAGTGCAACTCTATATGTAGTTGAAATGTATTTGTCACCCCTTGTGCGATTACTCTGGAGGCTGGAGGTGCTGTCACCAACTCACTTAGTTCATGGACCAGGCATTTTTTATTCTAATGTCAAAAACGACCACACGACAACGAGTAACGTTATCAAAGTTCTAACGTTCAAATTTGAACAAAGTACGTCGTCCGAATTGTGAAAGTCACAGATGCGGGTCGATCTACCGTATGTAGGTCCGCGGACTTAAGGCACCGTAGACACCATTTGGAGTATCCAGGCGTACTTACATTGTTAACACAAACACATCATTGGTGATCGTCGTAGAGGAGGCTTGAATCTAGCCTCGTAAAATTATGCATATGCATAAACTACATAAACTAAGCTAATTTATGCATACCACCAGCGTTGGTTTATGCAATTGGCAAAGCTCTTCAATTATCATATGATTGCGCTTTTATTTCATATAGTACTACTTTACAGTCGTTACTGCAAAACAAAGCGATGCTTGGCTTGAAAGATGCCCTCCAACGACAGATGCATCAAGTCCGTCCAGTTCGGATCAATCTCCCATTTTAGGATCGAAAAGTCTGATTGGACCGAGGTAGTGTTGGGAACAATGGTCGCCAGTCCAACGCAGAACGCGCGCAGACGCAGCCATTGATGAGAGGCGACATCCCAGGCGTCATTGAAAGTGGTGCTATTGTCGTGTTCGTCAATAGTGCGGCGCAGGAGGGGTCGTTGTTGTATGCGGCAACCAGCTGGCGATGATTTTCCTCGACCTCGTCGATGTCGACATCAGACCAGAAGCGTAGGATGCGCTCACGATGCAGGTCCAGCACATCACGGAAGAAGTGAGCCGGTCGAAGTCCAACTAGTTGACCAGGTAGAACTGGAGGTGCATCTTGCTCCCGCGGCAGGTTGCTATCGTCGCGCTCTGCACGCACGCCCTGCTGCTCGATCACCAGAGTCTCCGCATAGGCCACGATCTGCTTTAGGGCGGCAGTTTTGTCGGCAACATCCAAGCGCAGCAAGCAGTCCCGGGCCATTGATCCCTGGTCCTCGATCAGGATGATGAGGTGGTCGGTCCGGATACGCAATTGTCTCAAATCGCACGAAGTTGTCGTGCTCTTCAGCGTCAGCGTCGTCGGGATCGATCAGTTCGAGGTCGAACATGGTGCTGATCGTGGCAACAAGCGCCATGATGTGGCTCTCCTGCTGCGCCATCAGCAGCGATCGGTTCTGCAGTAGGGCGAACGCAATGTTGGCTAGATAGAGGCAGGCAGTACAGTACCTGACGCTTTTCCCGACACGAAGAATCCATAAGACATTCGGTGACGTGCACAATTGGGGCTCAGTCCTCGCCAAGGCACCGCCTGCACAAATTAAACACGCGATCTCCGCGACGCTGCGGTACGGCCATTTCGGGCGGATGCTCTGTCATCGCTCGCTACTACTACGTAGTATACGGCTTGGTTGATGTGAAAAAAAAACGGATTCGACTTCGTGACCTTTCGGACCTTTGTGCATTTCCCATGAGCCGAATATACAATCAGAGTCCACCACACCTAGCCCGTTGATGTACTTATTACTCGGGAGTACTACGTAGTACTAGCATATGATAGAAGAATGAAAATGACTGGCCAATAGGATCGTTCTATTCACTTTGTTACCAGTACATTGCTAGCTGCAGGCTGCAGCTAACGTAACGAGTCAATTTATGGCCCCGACACATACATACTTAAAGATAAACAAGTTTTCCTAACTGTAAATTGGTTATCAAAATGTGAGTGCAAATGCTTAGAAAGTAACAAATTTATCTGTGAAGTTCATCGCCTAAACTGATAATTCGATTATGAAGTCAAAGCGGCGCGTCTTTTCTATTGGAATCACTATTCAAAACTCAAGTATCGTCATGGACTCAAAAGTTATGTCCATTCTACTCCGACGCCTCCGAAAAATTTATCTTAAATTGGTTTTTTACGTTAGTAGAATGCGATCTCTTGCTCCTACCGCACGCTTGAGCCTGGGCGATGGTCATACAGTACGACTTGGCCCTCGCCTTGTAGTGGCGCGCCCCGTCTCTGGTGGTTGCTAGGCTCGGGTGCCGTCGCACATGCCCACGACCTTGGTCGTCTAAACGAACGATTGACGACGACAGCTCCATATCAATATTTAGGAACGGATTAAAATGATTTGAACCGAGTGGGTGTGGGGCCATGTCTGGGAGTGAATTGTAACAGCATTACTAGTGTAAAAAGTGGAGACACCATACTAGTTTTGCATCTTGGCAGAAACCAAGTAATCACATGGGCCAAGCTTGTCAACTGCTGGTAATATAGATAGGTCGTTTACAGCAATTTACTCGTTGATCTTCTAACGTTAAAGCGCCTTCCTGGATTTCCTATTCCACGTGGACTACCAGTAGACCACGACGAGAACCCTGTTACTCATGTTTACACTGTTATTCCTAATGTCTGGACAACTGCAAATCGCGGGCAAACGACTTGATTTGGTCAAAGCTTCGGTGACTATGCCCCGACAGTATAATCCTTACTGACGGTAGTTCTACCCATCACTTCCTCATTTTTACTTGGAGCCTTGGGTGTTGGCCCCAGTCGACCGAAATCATGAAGTAGTACCGGTAGTGATGCATATTGGGTAGAGTTTACAAACAAGGACTAGTAAACCTAAGGAAAAATGATAGTGAGTGTACTCGGGATTGCGATGAGCTGCTGACATGAACATTAACGTTAAGCTGATGCTGGCACGAGTTGTTTTGAGTCGCTTGGAACTTGATACTTCTGCAAGTCGATAAAAATGATCGTCTTGACCAATTACCTATATGACAAAGAAACCATAATGCACTCTGATTGGTTTATAATCACAAGTAAGGCCGGCCACCATTCCAATTCCACAAACAAGTCAACTTTCATTTGATTTCGAAAAATGGGTATATTTCCTCGTTGCGGTAAGGTAAAAACATTCTGAAAAGACCTACATGTGGAGAATTCTCAGCTGAATCCACCAATGATAAGATTATCGTCTTTAACGCATGTCTTGACACGCTTACACCCCATTTTGTTGTAAGCAAAAACACTATGATTTTGAGTTCTAATTTAAGTCGTATAATTTACAGTTACAGTAAGCTTGATATTTGTACATGAATTTGCTTAGAATTTGCGCGGTTAGGCTATTCAATCTTCACAGGTAAATACGTGATTTTCACAGGTTACTTGTTTATAGAGTGAGTGAGTCACAGTGATCCAATTTCCAAATCTCAAATTCCAATCAACCATAACTGTCAAGATATCGCCGCTAATAGAAACCCATCCGATCTGATTTGAATGGATCTGGTTAGACCGCACTATCAGCATATCGCTATATATAAATTCTTTGAAATGTAGATGGATGTAGGCTGTTGAATCTGTCATCCAAAACACACATTCAGAGCAAATCCTTGTTTTGGACTCCCATCATTGGTTCAAATCAGCATTCGATGCGAATTGCATGCAACATGGATCTCAGAACCTTGTGCTACGAAGAATATGCTGGCGCAATATCGTCATTCAAACGTCTGTACTTGCGGATTTATCGTCCTTTCTACAAGGACATTCGGAATCTAGAAATGGTATTCGCCATAATTGGATTTCATCTAGTAGTTTGAAATTCTATTAATATAAGACTTCGAAGTAGTATTAATAATTATTTATATGGATTTCAAATATCCGTGATAGTATCATGTGTCATCCAAACGTCATCCCAACGTCATCCACCATTAATATTAGGTCATATCCTAATTAGAATAAATGAGAGTAAATTAGGATAATGCTAGGTCATTGTATACACGCCTCGTCCGGGAGCGGCACGGCCTACGGCCTACCTGCCGCTGCCCGACAAGAAGAAAAGATAGATCATTCGGTGAAGTGAGAAGCTTAGATCCGCGCTCTCGTACGGCCGCGCTTGCGCAGACGGCCTCCCGGGCGCTCGGGGCCAACGTAAGGCTTGGTCACTACTTTAGGTTTCATCCCACAACTTCATCCAATTTCATCCAATGTCATCCAAATTTCATCCACATATATAATCATGCTTTTAATTCAACAATTATATTATATTAACCATAGTATCCAAGGTTGGTATTAATATTCAATGCTGTCCCGTAAGTCTTAAGTACTAGCACATTTTATTTTACTTCATTGAAAGGTTGTATTCGATTTGTCTCTTAACTGTAAAATATGCATTATTGACATCGACATCACAACTATCCGGATAAGTCGACAAGCTGTCAAGCATTTGGTTCTAAGTTTTGATCCAGTAAAACAGCCTGAGAATCTGTCGAATACCATGTTTCCCTCATCTCCCAGTATACTACGGTCTCGGTTTTAGTTGTGCTCGAACCAA